TCACCCTTCTTTTATTTTTTAAGCCCTGCATGGCCGGTCTGTTTGTTCTGGGTCCTCCACAGTGATCATTGAGGCATCACAAGAGGCCCCCTCAACCAGTCCTTAAAAATAACGTACTGCAGTAACACGCAGGAATGAAGTGTGGGGGAGAGGCCGGGGCAGGGGGTGGGGGGGGAGAAGAGAGAGACACGGAAGGTCTGGAGACGCCCCCCAGTCGGTTATCAGCAGTTGTCTCAGGGCAGTGAAATTTCAGGTGACCTTTCTCTTCCATCTCTATACTCTCTGACATTGTGTTAAAATGTTAAATTCAGCACCTGTTATTGGGTAATTACAAAAACAGCAGTTTCATTCTGAAAAAAGTTAAAATACTATTAGAGAGAAAAGCAGGCTAACGACTTGAGAATATCAAAGGCAGACGCCGTTCTCATTAAAGGAGGCACTGAGCCCAAACCTGATTTGCTTTGGAACTTAAACTGCAAAACACGTGCCCTAAACATCCCGATGCGGATGACCGTCAGAGGGGGCGACGAAGAGGAACGACAGTGACAGTCGGAGGGGACAGCAGGCGGTGCTGGTGCTGCTCAGAGGCACGCGGGAGGGGACGTGATAGCCCCGTGCCATTTGGTGATAAGTGGGTCAGCCTGGGGCGTTACTAAAACAGGGCGCTCTCCAGCGAAGGGTGGCTATTGCGGGAGACGCGAGGGCACTGTCCAGAACCTGGAGGCCCCGGCCAGACCAGGCCAGGCCCCCCTTCACTTCATAGTCGTCCAGCCGCCGCAGGGCCGGCAGCAGGCTCTTCTCGTGGCTCTCGTGTGCATCCTTCTTGGTGTTCTTTATCAAAGCTGAGAACTTGGTAAACACGTCATCCCCAGCCTGGGTGGGGCGGGGTTTCAGGGAATCAACAGGGCGGAGCAAGCAGCTATGGCTGATCCTCAGCCCTGCCCTAAGGGGCCCCGTGTCTCAGTGTCCCAGTAATTGCTGCAAGCACCTCTGAGGGAGAGCCGCCCTCAAGTTCTGAGTTCTGCCTGCTGCCAGACAGTCCAGTTTCTCCCCGTATGAGTCCTGGGTCCCCAGAGACTTCCCAGAACTGGAGTTCAGAGCAGTCAGGAGCTTGTGACTCCCTCCAGATTCAAAAAGACAGCCGCATCCGCAGGTGCCAGCCCCTTTCCACGTACCTCTGCACTTTACTTCCACACCTCCTCTGAGTCTCAGTGTGTTTTTCTCTTTCCTTCTAGTTGTAGAATTTCTGCTCAGTCAGCCTTCCTGTGGTTCTGGATGATGTCCATTTTGTCTTTTAGTTGTATTTTTGAAGTGGTTGTGTGAGGCAGCAATTTCCAGTGTTTACCTATGCCGCCATCTTGGTTTCTCCAGCGGGGCCGGCGCTGTCAGTGGATGTGAGTGGTGGCTGCTGCCCCGATCACTCCTCAGGAGCAGGGGGAAGTGGAGACACCCTCAGGGGCAACCGGGGCTGGCAGCTGCTGCTCACACCCGCTGATGGCACCAAGTGATCGGGGCTGGTGCTGGGTGCCAGCAGCAGGTGCAAGCGGCTGCTCCCGCGCCAGCTGCAGGTGTGAGTGGGGCCAGCACTGGCAGCAGGTGTGAGCGCCAGGCAACACTGCAGTGTGCGGGAGCAAAGAATTTTCAGTAACCACCAGAGGCTGGCCTTGATGACAGTGACCAGTGCCCTGCCTTGGTCTGGCGCCCCTGCTCACCTGCTCCACCATCCTGCCACACCCACCATGTTCTGCGCTCTGCTGCCCGCTATGTTCTTCATGCGCCCCATGGTGGTCAGTGCACATCATAGTGACTGGTTGTTCAGTTGTTCCACCATTTGATCTATTTGCATATTAGGGTTTTATGTATATGTAGATTAAAAAAAATTTTTTTAGAATGTCCTTTCTTTTTTTAAAAAATTTTATTTTATTGCTTAAAGTATTACAAATAGTAGTACATATGTAGCCTTTTTCCCCATTGACTTCCCCCTGGCCTCCCCTATCTCCCTGGCACATGCTCTCACCCCCCCACCCCCCGTGTCTTGTGTCCATTGGTTATTATATGCATGCATACAAGTCCTTCAGTTGATCTCCAACCCCCCCAACCCTCCCCAGGCTTCCCACTGTAGTTTGACATCCTGCTCAATGCTGCTCTGCTTCTGTATCCATTTTTGTTCATCAGTTTATATTGGTCCTTATTATCCATAAATGAGTGAGGTCATGTGGTATTTTTCTCTGCTTCCCAGGGGCCATTTCAGCCTCACCGGGGCCATCTCAACTTTACAGGGGCTGTCTCAACCTCTCCGGGGTTCAAAATTATATTTAAAGTATGAATCCAAACAGCTACACAGAAAGCATGCTATGAGAGTAAAATATGTAAAGGAATGGGAAATAAAGATATGGAAGAGAATAAAAGAATGAAGACACAGGTAGAGAAAATGGAAAGAACAGATCTAAGGTTTCTTAGAGTCTTGGGGCTTGTACCTGTTTCTGAGCTTTCTGTATTTTTCAACTTGATAAAATTAAACGTGTGTGCGTGCATGCGCGCGCACACACACACACACACACACACACACACACA